TATAAAGTGTTTACTCTAATATTTCTGATAACAAAGTTTCATCAGGATTTAAAGCTCTGAATAAATTAAAATCAAATTTCCCTTCTTCTGGCATCAACTTTTGACACATTTTATCAATTGCAATAACTGCTAAACAAGTCTGTACATAAGCATCTATCAAATCATCAACTCCTATGCCTAATTGATTAAAATCTTTACGGTCCATCAACAATAACCGTTCTGATTCTGATGACCATTCACCATCAGCTTTTTTTACAGATAAATTTGTGCCTAACATTTCCCAAGAAGTTACTGTTTTAAAATACATTGATTATTAATAAAAAAATATAAATAAATCAAAATAAATATTAATGAAGGATAATACTTGACAGATCATCTTCTAGACGACTTAAAAGGGGTTTTCTTGCTCTTCTTGCATAAATGCTTACAGGTTGAAAGCCATTTTTACCAGCTGTTATCATCATACGAAGATCACTTACATAAGTGTGATTACGTTTGTTTGGGATTGTTCCTACATGATAAAACCTTCCAGCCCTTGTGACAGATGACCATGATGCATTACCAACCAATGATTGTACAATAAATTTGTCATAATGATGATCTTTGTCTAGAAATTCTTGAAGTTCTTGTGGATTTGTTATTGTGTAGACACCTTGACCTAATAATAATAATATTATTATTATTATTAAATTATAAGCAATAATAATATTTATTTATTAATAGCTACCAGCATTACTATATGGCACTTTTAATACAGCATGACCACCCATACTATGTATCCATAATGGGATTTCACTTCTGGTAACATTGTTGATTGTTTCAGGTACTCTGATAGCCAAACCAGTATCCACTAATTCAGCATTGAAGAATTCATAGGCTCTATCAGCCATCATTTTGTTACGACCACCAGCAAGACAAGAGACTATTTCATTCATTACTATTGTACGAGTATTAAGAGGAATGCGATTCCATGGTCTCTGAGTAACATAACGGAAACATGCTCTGATTGAATGCCATTCTATAAAGTAAATAAATAAATATGTATATATTAATAATATAAATATAATATATTAATTAAATTATTTAAATACAAACCATTATTAATATCTCTTATATACATAACTCGATCAATCCATTTAACTGGAGGATCTTCATCATCATCATAGTATTGTACAAACCAAACCCTTTCCTGCATAACTTCAGCCAATGCAGTAGCATAACCTGATGTTTCCATTAAATTTTTATCACATATGACTGCTAAGTCTCCTAAGGAAGGATCTGCCTTTTCTACAGCTTCTTTAAATGCAGATTCTATGACCACTCGATATCCACCATATTCATCAGTTTCAGACAATAATGGCATTGACTTTTGTCCCGATGGACATGAATTGGTCTCAACAATAATCATTTG